TGCGCGCTGTAGTGCATTTTGCGGGAGTACAGTAGTCACCCTGCGCGTTCGAATAACGTCCTCGCCATTATGCTACAGATCCCATTCTTCGTCCTGCGAAACAGCCTTCCGTTCCAGGCGAGGAACCGCCTGGAGTTCTTCTTGATTCTGCGCCTCTGCGCAGCATCTTGCTCGACCATCTCTTCGCCTTCGAGATAACGGTACGTGTCCCGCACCTGAGGTTCCATGTCTTCCAGTATATCTCCTTTCGCAAGAGCGGCAGCACATACCAGGTCCCCCTCATCCTCCTCGCGCCTGCCATCGTCTTCTCGTAGACGCGAGAGAAAGTCAGCGGCATAATTCTTTGAGCCGGGGCGGTACAATATCTCGAATTCGTACTCCGCCAGGAAATCCAACCAACGGGCAAGTCTACCGTGGATGTCCTTCTTTTGAACGCATACTGAAGCGCTTGGTGATCCGTAATCAACTTGAACTTTTGCGTTGAGAGCAAATACACCCGAAATTTCTTTAGCGCGAAGATCACCGCTAATGCTTCTCTCTCACAGGTGGAGTACTTCTTCTCAGTCTCCGTCATCGTCCTGCTGGCGTATTGTATCGGGTGAACCTTCTCGTCTTCCTTCTTCTGAGCCAGAAGTGCTCCCACTGCCATGTTGGATGCATCTGTCTCGACCACGAAGGGTTCGTCAAACTTCGGGAGCGCCAACAGCGGAGGAGACGTCACCCTCTTCTTCAACTCCTGGAAGGCGGTCCGCATCCCTTCCGTAAATTCAAATTCGACTTTGGTAGAAGTAGCAGCATGCAACGATGCAGAGACTTCTTCGAACTTAGGGATAAATCGGCGGTAATACCCCGCTAGTCCAAGGAAGTTTCGTAACTCCGTCTTGGTGCGCGGCTCGGGGGTGTCCCAAATGATCGATGTCTTCTCTGGATCCACCTCAATCCCTTTCTTTCCGATGACGTGCCCCAATAGCCTGGTCTGTGATTGCGCGAAGGAACACTTCGCAAGCTTCAACTTCAATCCACTGCGAGCAATCAGCTCGAACACTTCAATTAAGTGGTCAACATGGACGTCCAAGGACTTCGAAAAGATGACCACGTCATCAAGGTATACTCGGACGAATGGCAGGTCTCTGAATACGCCGTCCATCATCCTTTGAAATGTTGAAGGAGCGTTCATGAGCCCGAATGGCATCACTTCAAATTGAAAGGTCCCGTACCTACAGACAAACGTCGTCTGTTCTTTGCACCATGAGGCCATCCGCACTTGCCAATAACCCGAGAACAAGTCCAGGGTAGTGAATACTTTGCTTCCTTCAAGGTCGTCGAATATCTCTTCCATTTTAGGCAACGGCCACTTGTCGGCCTTCATCACGCGGTTAAGCGCGCGGTAGTCAACACAGAAGCGAGGTTTTCCGTCCTTCTTCGTTGCGATGACGACCGGAAACGACCAAGGAGCTACAGAGGGGGTAATGGTCCCTGCCTTCTGCATCTTCTCGATCTCCTCACGCACTACCGCGTTGTGTCTCGGAGGGAGCCTACGAACGGCGTGCGAAATGGGTCTGTCGTCATTTAACTCAAACGAATGTGACACGGGGACATCTGCCGGCCTGAGGTCGTCCAAAGACCATGCCACTATTCCCATACTCTTGATAGAACGCATTATGCGGTTGGCGTTCTCTCTGCTGATATGGCTCAGCTTAGACATGAGAAGTCCCTCCTTCTCATCTTTTTTCTCTTTCTCATCTGCCGGCTCGTACTCTGAGCCTTCATCAGCTAGGTCCGGAAGTCCAGCATGAGGATCTTCGTCCTCAGTGACTGCTCCCGCCCAGGCAAGGTCTGGTTCAAACGGCACCCTTTCACGCAGCGAAAGGACGAAGTCTTCATCCGTATCAGTCGAGTCAGCCGCACGGCCCCCGAGTCTGACGTGAAGTCCTCACTGTCGGTAGCGGATCCCGGCTTCTTATGGTCTTCATCCATCTCAAGACTGAGTCGAATCGTCTCAGCACCCACAGTTACTTGGACATGCTGTTGCCCCAAGTCAATGCACGTTTGGAGCTCCTCTAACGACGGCATCCCCACGATGAAGTCGTACGGTGTTCCCGTAACGACAAGGAAGTCCATCATGCTCACCAGTCCCCCAAACGAGACGGGGACCTGGCGCAGTGATCCAACACAAGGGGAGCTCTTCCCATCTGCCACAGTGATGTGTTTCTTCGTACTCTCCGGCGTCAGAGAAAGTCTCTTCATGAGGTGCGGCGACATGATGTTCGGCACCGCACCCGAATCCAGTAGTGCTTGAGCATCAGTTCCATAAACTTGAACAGTAACTACCCGAAGACGCCTCGGGAAGACATCCGTGTGGCCCGCAAACCCGCGAGAACGCCCCAATCTCCTGGATAGAAGGCGCTTCATCTCCTTCCTTGCTCCTTCAGCGTCTCCACGGACAAGTTGTCCAAATGTTAGACCAGATAGACCAGGCGCATTCGCCAGCTCTGACACGACGTTGTACTTCCCGACGTGCTCCTGGAGTGCCGCCTTCTTTGAAACATTTTTCTTCTTCTGGCGTGCAGGCTTCACTCTCCGCACTCTCAGCGGCTCATTCCAGGGGAGAGTTCCCCTAGGAGGTACTGGAGTGCGATTCAGCAGCCTCGGGATCGAAACTTCTTCACGGTTCTTCGACTGCTTCGGCAAGGCCTCTCCTTCGGCGTTGCGTTTCGTAGCTGCCACAAATTCTCCCTTGGTGGTCTCAGTTATGACCGTGACCTGCTTTGAGTCTCTGGTGGCCTTGTCACCGGCGTCGTTGGCAGAACCGTCTGCTTTGGGGCCATAATCGCTTCCTGCGCCAGCGTTACCTTGAGGACGTGCATGAGCCACATTCTTTCCGGCAAAGCGGGACCAGCAAGTCTCCGTCGTGTGTCCAACCTTCCCACACGTGGGGCAACGAGTATCAAGGTGTGGGTTGGAACGACAACGAGTCGCTGAATGCCCTGGTTCCTTGCAATAGGAACATGTCTAGCTCGTATCACTGTCCCCTGGCGTCTGTCGTTTCTTCATCATCAGTGACAGTTCCGCCAGCTGGTTGGTGATGGCGTCTACCTTGTTCTCCAGCTTGTCCTGTCGAGGATCCACATCAGAACGCATCAATACGCGCTTGGGCGTCACAGGTTCAACGGACTGCGCAGCAGTTTTCGCCGCCTTGAAGGCGTCACAGCCTGCAGCAAAGTCCTTCACGGTCTTCATTAGTTCTTCGTACGTCGTCGGAGAACGATAGATCGCGAACTGAGCAACATCCAAATGTGCCATTACGGCATTGCGAAGCAAGCCGTACTTTGCCTCGTCGTTGAAACTAGCCCTCCTGTAGAGCTTGTCCATCTCATCCATCGAAGTAAGCAAGTTCCTACCATCCAGTCAGCAACTCATAGCCTTCTGGATGTTTTCTTCTGGCCTCGGTGCCTCCTCCGTAAAACGGTCAGACAGGGCGCTCTTCACACCGTCCCAGTTACTGGCGGCCTCGGTCAGACTCCCATTCTGACTATACGTCTCATAGTAATAGTCGAGCGCGGCACCCTCGAGGTGGCATAGGATAGTTCCTGCCTTCTCCTCGTCAGGCTTGCTGCGCATAATGATGTTCTCGTATACGAACAGAAACATGAAAACATCTGACCCGTTCGACCCATCGTAGGTAAAAGGGTTAGGGCCCGCACTTGTGTCTGCGTCGGCCCTCCACAAGAGTACCATGTTGTCGGTGAAATGGGGGAGGCGGTTTTGGGGAGCGTGCCGTTCCGTTGGGAGGGTCAGCCGAGTGTCGTTCTTCCCCCTTTTCCCCGCAGCGCCCGTCACCCTCTCTCTTTTATTTCTACGAAATTCCTTCCAGAAGCGTCCACGCGTCCGGCCCGGATTCCGCCGGGCCGTCCGCGTGCACTTCTCTAAAATTCAAAAAAATCTCGGACTACCGAATAAAATCTCCCTCTACAGTAAAATGCAATTTTTCCCTAAAAATATCTCACAGCTTTATAATTTTTTCCACCACTGTACGAGCAACGCGCAATTTTAAGACGGTCCAATTTAGTGCAAAATCCGCCGGTTTTGGTGCCCTTCCCAAGAAAAAGTCCTTGTTAAACAGCACTCAGGCTCACTTCTTGTCCTATTTCAAAAATAAGCACGATTTTCCCTTATTTAAAAAGGGCTATTACTGTATGCCAGCAATGTGAGTATTGATGGTGTCCCTATACTGTACTTTTTTTCGGCACTGTAGAAGAAAACCGGCTAAGGTGCAGGTTGAAAAGATCATACTGTAATGCATTTCGTTATGGAGTGAAGTCTACCAGACCTCATTGACGCAAACAGGTGGCTGCAATCAGTTGAGGAGATGAGATACAGTGCCCTTGAGATGGGAAGGGCCGTTCCTAACGACGAGCACGGTGGTGGAGGGCCGTTAGTCTCTGCATCTACGGCACGTGCCAAGCGCGCTTGCCGGGGCCATCAGGGCACTGTGTCCCTTAAAACGTGGGCGTCAAACGCGCTTGCCGGGGCCATCAGGGCACTGTGTCCTTAAAACGTGGGCGTCAAGCGCGCTTGCCGGCGCCATCAGGGCCCTGTTTCCCTTAAAACGTGGGACACAGCTTCTTTGTATTTTTCCATTATGGCAAGTGCTTGTTGTTGACACAGCGGCTACCCTTGGGTACCTTTCGAAAGGTTGCTTTTCGATTTGCAACACAGCAATTACCACCGGAGTGACAGACCCTCCTGGTACTGGACCTCAAATTCTTGCGACTGTCTGAAATCACAAAAAGTCGCCAATCAAACACAGCCAGTAGGCCTGCACCATTGATCCAACAAGGCACTATAGTATTCACAAGACAAGATCAACAGAGGCTGTTTTTCTCGCTGCCCACGGATGGCTTGTTTTCTCGTCGACCATTTGCCAAATTTCATACCACGAGTCTCTATTTAGGGTACTGCGGTTTGGGGGAACAGCACCATTGCACGTCCAACTTGTAAAGTGAAACTCATTTTCAGGACATCTGCCCTGTCCCCTCTCTTTCACTTGCAATGGTCGGCGAGGAAGCAGGTAAGTCCTCACGTTACAACTCCTTGCGAACGGATACGCCTTTCTGCGGCCCACTCACCTGTTTCGGGTCGGAGCAGAGAAGAAAATCACGACCGAACAATCGTATTGTAGATCTAACGCTTTCAAACGTTTCGTCCGAACAGCTGCGCTACAGAATGGTGCCATCAACGGTCACGGAGCCCCCGCAGATGCCGAAGAGGACGCTGCTGATCATCTCCAAACCGTACAGATTCTTGCACTACCTCGCAGAAAAAATGATCACGAAGATGTGAAACTCACCTTTGCAATGTTTGCAAAAGCCATTGAAACTATCGGCAAAGAGCTTTTTGTCCTTGCCAACGAATGGCAGGGAGGCAAATATGAGCGTCGCTACGAATACCAAAACCTTAATGGAGGAGAAACACCTCTAAAACCCGTCTTTCCCAAACATGTTATGTCTCTTCCAAAAATGGAGGCATTCGAGTCCTCCAAAATTGGAGCTCTTGTCGCCAGGGCCCATGTTTTTATGCGCAGTCAACTGCCACTCCTTGCTCGCCTAGACGATAATCCATCGCAAGCCTTCGCGGACGTTAGATATGATGTTTTCAAGGCATTTTTCGGAGAGACCGATTTGTTTCCGATGCCACGCGGCATCCTGTCAGAAGAAGTTGATTTTTGGCAGCAAGACGAAGTTTTTGCCGATCAATTCCTCAACGGCTGCAATCCCACAGTGATAGAGAAGCCCCGTGACCTTGATGAAGTGAAGAGGCAGATGCCTCTGGAATTGCGCAATTTACGCGCACCACAACCAGATGGACGGAGTGTAGAAAAACTACTGGAAGAAAACGCCCTGTTCTGGGCAGACTACAAGATGCTCGCCGTGCGGGGGATCTCCAAAGGTCTCGACCAGACTTCTGGAGCCTACACTAATTCGATTAAATTCGATCCCGTGGGAGAGTATGAAACTATGACGAAGTACTTTTATGCACCTTTCGTTGCATTCTACAAGAAAAAAGTATCGGGGCGACTAGGTGTGCTAGGCATTGTTCTTACTAGGGACCAAGAAGCGGCGAATGCCGTGTACAACGAGGAGACGTGTAAGGATAGGCCGAACATTTACACATTTGCGAAAATGCATGTTGCATGTGCTGATAATCAGACACATCAATTCTACTATCATCTTGGAAGGTGTCACCTCACTTTCGAACCATTTGGCGTTGCGGTGCGAAATGTCTTCCAGTTTGGTGAAGAAGAAGCACAGAATCATGCTGTTGGATTGCTTCTTGCACCCCATTTTAAGGATCACATGGCTATCAACTGGCTGGCGAGAAAGACGCTTCTCGCTCACGGGGAGGAGGCGATCCCGTTTACAGATGCTGGTTTCGCTCTCGGTATCAATGGGGGGCAGGCCTTCCTCGCGAAGAAGTATTCTCAATGGAATTTCCGACATCAAGCCTTCCCAAAACAACTTCAATTGCGAGGCTTTAATCCTGACGGTTCTGACGGCTTAAATTACTACTACCGGTCTGATGGTATGCGTATTTGGAAAGCTCTGTCACGCTATGTACGAACGACATTGGAGAAATTTTACTCAGCCGCGACAGAAGCAGAACGAAACAAGAAGATATGCGACGACGTAGTTCTTGATCGGTGGTGCACGGAAATGCGTGATCGAGACCGCGCATTTGTGAGGTCATTCCCCGCTAAGTTTGATGACTTGGACAAGCTATGTGAGACGGTGACAACGATCATGTACAATGTGTCAGCTGAACATGCCGCTGTTAATGCAAGTCAAGAGCGATACCTTTCATACGTCCCGAATCGTCCGAACGCCTTGTTTCGTCCGGTCCCAAAACCTGGTGCAGAGAGAGACATGGACCTCATTAAGGAAGTTCTGGGAATTCATAGGATGGGAGGTAATGATCTTGGTGCTTCGCTACCACTCGGATTTGCGATGTTTCAGGTACAATTCTGTCAACTCTTAACACTGCAACCGACGAAGACACTTATGGAGCTGGATGATCTGAAGGATTCGTGTCCAGAGGCATATAATGGTTTGATGAAGGACCTGGAAAAGGCACATTACGTGATTAAGGCTAGAAATTTGACAATCGAGGATGAAACACCGCATCTTGCCCCTTATGAATTTCTTGACCCAGTGCAAATCGCACAGTCGATTGAGATGTAGACGGGCACTGAAGTTGTTCTTTTACAGGCGGTGATTACGATACATATAATATGGAGCACACATGAGTGGAATTTTAAGGCAATTAGTCAAAGTGTATTGTACGGTATGCACGACAGAATAGTGGCTGTCCGCCGAAATCGCCGTACAGGGTTAGTTGTAGCTAGTGAGCACCGGGATAGGAAAAAGACTGCGGAAGTGAAGTGAAGTGAACCCGGTGGAGACAAATCAGGCTGCATTCCGTTCTTCCGGGAAACCGTGATTTGTAAATGGGTAGTCGCTTGTGCCGACGTACTGCTTTCTGAAAGAGAAACGGGTTGAATGACACGTGTAGCAGACGCAAGAACAAGCCATCAGTTTTGTATGCTTGCGTAGCGTAGCGAGCACTCCATCATCGTTTCAGGATCGCCTTTGTTGTCGGTTTCGTTGTCACTGACCAGCTCGACTCACCATGTCGTCCCAACCGTGTTTCGTACTGCAAGCGAACGTCGCGTCCCTGAGCTCTCACTATCGTTACGTCCCTGGAGCTCGTACCCATCCGCATACTGGTGCGGGGCGTGCAAGAACTATGCCTCCCTCTTCCTCCGCGTCATCATCCACCGCATTTGTGCGCGTGCCCGTAGTTGCATCATCACGATGTCTCTCCTTGTTCCGGAGACATCCAAGGCTCCTTGACAGGAAAGCGATCGCGCCCCAGGTTTGTCCAGCACGACCGTTTATGACGGTAAGAGGCGACGACTTCTCGGACCATGCCCATGTGTTCTGGGATGACACTGCACCCCTTGCTGACATGTTTCCCAATGAAAGTAGTTTGTGTCGGGAAGAGGATCTCTCACAACCACCTTCGGGAGGCACCGGCGGCGGTGGACAGTTTGGTGGGGATCGAGGTGACGAGGGCCATAGTGAATTACTTCGCAAGTTTGGTCGCGCCGATGAAGTATTGCCGAGTGACATTGCTGCTCTTCCATCGGCACAGCTTGCAGCATATCTTGAAGCGACGAAGAATGGTTTTGTTCGCTGGTTAGCAAAAATCTGGCCTGGCTGGCGCCGGAGAGTGGCTGCTGATCCAGAGTTCCCCTTCAAAGTGCTAATGGAGGAGACTGTCGGTTTGGGTCTTGCTGCATCTGGCATGATCGCTGCGCGCGGGAAAGATATCCTCAATGAGCTCGATTTTGCATTTTGCGACATCGCAGTCGGGGGCACACTCAACTTCATTCTGGTGTATCTTCTTACACCGGCTATCTTGGTTGGGGGCGCATCGAAAGGTGGAGCACTGGGGCGCCTCGGACAGATGACATCGAAGCTACCAGCAAATGCTTTCACGGCCGGTGCATATTCTGTTGGAGAAAGACTGTCGAGTTTCTTCTACAAAGGGACGCTATTCGCTATATGCGGGTTTGCCGGCTCGCTAGTGGGAACATCGCTCTCTCAGGTTCTGGTGCTATTGCGAAGATCCTTTTCGAGCAAGGAAGGGGGCGTCGTGGAGAAACCGCTACCGAATGTTGCCATCAACTCGGCCGCATGGGCTGGGTTCATGTTTCTGTCCGCCAATCCAAGATATCAAACCGTGGCGGGAATAGAACGAGTGCTTTTCACGTTTGCACCAGATGCCGTCGCAAAGGCCGGGAGCGGTGCCCTACGAACGGCTAACAATGTGGTGGGCGGTGCTATATGGGTGTGGTGGGCGAGAGCAATTGGGTTGCAGGCCAAACCGGGAGAGGAGGCAACAGAGCATGACGGAAAGCTTACAGAATGAAGTTTGCCTGTTTTCGAAACCCACAGATGTCGTCAGCAAATGGCTGGACTGCATGGGTGATGACACATGGGTGAAGTTGAGACCGTGGATCTCAGGCTACGAATGGGTGGGAAAATAACGGGGCATGGCGGCCACTCTGGAAGCTTGCCAGCTGTGTTGGCTACGCCACAAGCCATTCGAAAGTAGGAGTCACAAGGCCTGAGACACAACGCTGCGCAATGTTTGCAGTCGCACTATTGTGCCATATTGCTCGGATAGTGAGGTAACGCCGTCAGTCTTTGCCGATGTCCATGGAGAAAAGGTGTTGGCTTGATGATGTTCCGCTGTGGCGTGGAAGGAATAACTAGTAATATTTTTTTAAACGTCACAAACCAAAGCGCATGCGTTCTGCTCCGCTCCTTGAGATGAGAAAGGATTGTAGGCTTGAGACTGTTACATGGCGAAACTTCGACAAGAGAAGTGTCTGAGGCTTTGTCATTGTTAAAAACTCTGCGACTATTATAACTTGGAATCAAAAGCCTGTAACCCTAATTTTGAGATACGAGGGCATGGTTGCGCCGACCTAACACATGTATTTCTGAAGTCCAAGTGCAACACATTCTCACTGGGATAAATCGATGCGGCTTTATCAAATTGTATTGGAAAACGGCAGCGCGGTACTGTGTACAACCATGCTGCGCCCACGCTACGAGATGCAGCTGCAATCGGGCACTGGAGCAGACTACGATGGGTTATTCGGCAGACACTGTTCTCGGTAACAGAAATAATTGCGACAGAGCAAGTGAGTGGAGGAAGCTGCCAGCGTGCCAAACGCAAGCGGCACGGACTGCAAGCGCAGTGTTGGCGCTAGCATCAAAATCGCGAACGAGGAAAGCTTCATGAATTCTACCAGCGTCTGCATCTTTGACGGCAGTTTGCCCTTTTTATCTTATCAACGAAGGGTATCCAAACTGAGTCTTCAAACAAGGAGGCACTGTTCTGCAATGGGCCTTCAGAAGAGTGAGAGCGGAGACATTGGGTCTTCGGTTTAAGTTGCTGATTACTGAAAACGTGTATCTGTGACGGACGTGACACAGCTAAATTTCTGGTCCAAGCCAGGCGATGGCACGTGTCCTCAGTTATCACGGGCGATTGGAGCGGAGGACACTACCGAAACTCATGAGTACCAACGGTACTGCATGACGGCATGTACTCATGATTTCAATTCTACAGTTGGATCGAGAGTAGATTGCTCACCACATGAGAAAAGGAGCCGCCGGCGCCTTTTCATTTATCTAACAGTGTGGGGGGCCTATGCTCTATCACAGGACAGGCGGTCAGGGTCTGACGCTTGGTTTGGACAGGACGCGGCTGGTCTGTGACAGGGCATATGGGCGAGGGCTGCGCAGGCAACGCTAGACCAAATTGCGTAGCTCAGGTGTTGGGATAGACCGGACTTGGGCGGTGCCAAACGTGGTGCCGGTGCAAGTCCCAATCTGGCGCGCCAGAGTCTCGGGCACGGGTGAAAAGGGGCGCCGGCGCCTTTTTGCATCTGTGTCTGAGCAATGCTGTATGTTCATATATCAGGTTTTGACCCCTTGAAGCACTTCTGAAGCAGGAAACGTGGCCGAGTGGTCTAAGGCGCTAGTTTAAGGCACTAGTCTTTCGGGGCGTGAGTTCGAATCTCACCGTTTTCAGAAATAACTTTTTTTTAGGTTTTGATCAATGACTCACCATTTGCGTGACGTCTGTCGAGATTGGTAAGACGGCAGCACAGTATGACCCACAGGCGAGTCCCACTTTTTTCCATCAACAACATTCGCATTCTGGCCGCATTCCTCACTTCTCGCTTTGCTTTCCGTTTTGATATCTCCAAACAACATTGCGCGTGCACTCTTTTCCCAACTTGGATGACTTGCTCATCATATAATAAGCATAAGTAAGGTTGTCCGTAAAATAACGCGTTTTTTTTTTCATTTGCCCACAAAATCGCTGGACGTAAAGTAAACCCGAGATTGAAAAATTCCGCTGCGCGTTTTGCAGACTGACCTCCAGCAGCGTGCCTGCCCGCAACAAACGCAAGTCTGGTACATCGTTGTGCCGCCCGAGAATCACGTGCACCTGCGCTAATACTCGCTGAACCGAATATTGTAGCTCGCAACAAGGATAGAAAGGTTCTCAGTCGAAAGGGCGATGTGTTTCGTCTATCTTTCGCGGTTGCTTCGGCGGCATCTGTGGCAGATCCTGTCACGCTTTCATCCGTTGATTGACTCTGCGCCGATGAAGCGATAGGGGCGTCCATGACGCATATCGAGACGACCCGTGCAGTCTGAGACTCGTTTGTGCTGATGAAAAGAACGGAAAACCCACTTCGCTTTCCTTCAAGACTGGTCAATCCGGCACTGCTGCGATCAGGCGGATGTGAAACTCGTGGAAAACTAACATGCCCCCAGTTTGTGGTATGATGTGAGTTTTGCCCAACGCGTTTTCTGAAAAAAATTCGATCAGAAAATGTGAGCAAACACGCAGCCAAAATTCGGCGTTTTCGTGACTTTACGGATAACCTTACTGTATACAGGGGGGGTCGCTCAATAGTGCCTACTTTAGTAGTGCTTCCCTCTATATAGTGCTATGGCTCACCCTCTGGCACAGGTTATCATAAGCTCACACGTGTATCATCCGGCATGGTTCAGTACTCAAAGGATGAAGTTATTTAGTTGTGTTATACAGGCTTTGTTGTGTTTGTGTTAGCAGTGCATTGTCCCCAAATATATGTATTTGAGCCTCCTTTATATAGTGCCATCCCCCAATAGTGCCATAGCTAGAGGTATGTCACGCTATAGCACTATATCGTAGGAGGCACTGTATGCATTTCTTTTCTGGACTGTTATGGGGCCTGGTTGAGTTCGTTGATTTAAACCAAAACAACATTCCGTATTTGCGAAATAGTTACGAAACGGCACAAACGGTATGGCACACCCACAGATGAGCAAATGTTGCAGGATGCTGAAGGATAAAGATTGAGAGGAGAGAGAGAGTTTATTGGAAATGAGGGGGGTTTTGCTACTTGGCGTCTGTGGGGTCTGGAACGGTGGGCTTCGGGTGTGAAGTGGGCCGCACTGAGCGTGCGGTGGGCTCACTGTAAGGAGGACGGGGGTGATTGGCTTGTGTTGTGTGTGTGTGTGTGTGTGTGTGTGTGAGAGAGAGAGAGAGACGAATGCTGAAAATACGAATTTGCGAGTTTTACATGAGAACATTATTGTATAAGTGTCAGTAGACAATGGCGTAATCTTGAACAGTTACACTTCAAGATGGGGGTGTGCGTTGATACAATTGAGAATGTACTGGCGGTTGCTGTCGAAAGCCACTCATGCAAACGTAGTTGCCGCATGGAAAACTTGTGGCGGTACAGACAGCAGAAACGATAGATCATCATCCACGGAGGACCTGATAATACATTCGGGGAACGATCAATTGTACTGAAGACAAGTGTTGCGATGATCTTTCCATGGTCTGCAACCCTTTCAGAATTGCTTCTCGGTGGGACACTTCGGGACTGCGACACATCGTGTTGGTTGTGCGGTGCCGGTGGTTGGAACAAGTTTCAGAGACACAGGCGAGACAGTGGCATGCAGATAGATTCGGACGACGAAGAGGATGGCGGCACAAAGGGAAGAATAGGCTTGTCGTAGCCGAAATACGGTGTCGGCAGAACGGAGGCGAAGGAGATGCTATGCTGCCGGTGTGGCGCCACCCTTACTCACACCCGTTCCGGACCCTGCGGTGCCTGGCGGGGGTGGGGGAGGCTTTCTGTGGTTGACCTTTTCGACAGGCTGCACGGTAGGTATGTCTGTGTTCTCAGAGGACGACGAGCGACGACGGCGGAGAGCTCGCGGGCTGTCGGGGATCGCCGAGGCCCTTGATGGCGGAAGGACGTACTCGTCAAGGCCGTTGCAGCAGTCTCGTTCGCACAGGAGCGGGGGAGGGCGCGGGCGTGGCGGGTTGACCATCGCGAAGGCGGAGAGGCGGCGGAGTGTTGGGGAGGGCCGGGGTGCGTCGGGGTAGGGCGCCGTGGAGATTGGCAGTGGGGGCTCGGCAGCAGAAGAGTGCGGGCGCAGCGGGAGAGGTCGGTGTTGATAGGGGAGCAAGCACGGAGTGTGGGGAGAGGCGGCGTACCACCATATGAGGAGAAGAGCGATGCAGAGTGAGATGCGGAGTGAGATGCGGAGTGGGGATGCGGAGAGAGATGTTCGGAGTTCGAGGGGGAAAAGTTTTTACAGCAAGGGGGAGAATGAGGGAGTGGGGGTGTAGGAGGTACAGCACAGAGAATAATTTACCGTGCAGTACGCGCACGGCAGGCCAATTTAAATTGTGTTTTTTTTGTTTTTGTTTTGCCGAAGCTCTCCATTTGTATAATGTCAATGTCGCGTATCACATGGGGCGAGCAGGTCACATGTAGGGGTTCCCTAAGCCTCGGGTGATTATCATACCCTCGAGCCTTGTGTCATCCCTTGCAGCCGGGAGACAACCCACACATGTCACATGGTGCATGTCACATGTGGCAAGCAAGTCAAATGTGTGTGAGCTTCTCCACAGGTTACCCTTCCCCGCAATGGCGCCCAGCGATGCAACGCCAGGGGGATGGCCTGTGCTGGGAGGGTGGCGTCTACGGCTGGTGCCAGCACCGCGCGGCCCAATCGCAGCAAGGACAATGAGGCTGCAACAATGAACATCGCTGAATGCAACCCCCATGGTCGGCGTTGTGGCGAGGGCAACAATAACCCCTCTCCAGCACCCAATTGCCGTGCCGCTCGGGCCGATCGAATGACCATGCATTTTCGACACTTGACTTATTCCCTTCTCTCGGCTCATTGGTCAAACGAGAATTCTCCTTCGGGCCTTTGCCCCGACCTTTTGCCTACGGAAGTACGATTCTGTACCACCAAGTCTCATGTCCCCATTTGCGTAAACTTTACTTTCAACCGCGAATGCCACATACCGCATGTCTACAACCGAACACAAATATGCAAATTTTGCATACCTCCCAATGACGCCGGAACCGTCGCATAAAGCGCATACTTTACATGTTATATCCACTTTATCAACGATAACAAACTGCCGAATTTATTGCCAGACCAGAACAAAAAAAAATCCCGTCTCTCCATCCTGTCCTTGTCTCTGCTTTTCCCCCGTTTGC